ACAAGTTAAAGCACTGTTATGACACAGCTTGATATATATATATATATATTAAAAATAAAAGCGTTTGTGTGTGAGTGTTCTATTGCTCAGTATAATGTAGTAGTCACCATTCCTTCTCCCCCCCACACACGTCTTTCAGCCCCCCTATGTCTCTCAGACTGCTCCTTGTATCAATCTCTGCCTGCTCTGCCTTGTTTACATCACCAAGCTGCGTGTTTCAGACTCCTGTCATTCACCCCTATATCTCTCAACCCAATGTTATGTCTAACATGTCTTTCATCTCTGTCTCTTGTGGTTGTCCTCCCCTCTCTGTGTGTAGATCTGCTCAGCTCACCATTTCCACCACAGACACGTCCTTAGTCATTCACTCATTTCCAAGATTCTGTCACCCACCTCAATCCCACTGTTTAAATCTTCAGCACATCAATGTATACACAAGTTTTTTGTTACGGGTTAGAATACATGTGAATGTGTATGAATATTACGTGTGTGAATGCTCGAGGTTCGAAGTTCAGCATGTGCATCATCAGGATCGGATAGTGACCTACTGTAATGCTGTGAGTAGCTCTGCACCACATGAATGGGAGGATGTTGTGTGGAGCCCCTGCATAACTGCGAGTTCTGGGACAGTATCTACATGTATGTGTCTAATCGTGTGAATACATGTTTAGCTATATGTGTTTGCATTCCTCCCAAAATCAGTAGAGGGGTGGGTGGGCCTAAAGGGTTCAGCAACCTGCATCACTGACACCACTCAATGGGGCAGACTGAAAAAGGGGTATGTCACCCTGGTGTAAATGAATGCCAGGCCAGCTGCCAATCATACTGACCGACCCCACTAAGGCCTGAGCATGTGAAGAGCACTGTTACAAAGCATGGGCTAAGTGCAAGGGCACCTAATACTCTTGCTCTACACTTTTTGAGAATAGTTCCTTGATGTCCACAAAAGCGAGAACCAAGAAACAAACCCAGGATGGTTGGACAGTTGCTTTAAGTTGTGACTGTCCCAGTGAATCTAGGATCAGCGATGTATTTGCCACCATGCAAACAAGGCATTTGCCTAGGGCGGCACTTTCGGGGGGGGGGGGTGCCAAAAAAGCCACCCCAAGCACCCAGACAAATGCCTTGCTTGCCTTGTGTTCTGGGGCTGTCCACCTTACTGTGAGTGAGTGTAGCTGCCAGTGTGTGTCTGTGAGTAAGTGAAAGTGTGTGTGTCTTTCAGTGAGAATGGGTGTGCCTGTGAGTGTGTGTCATTTTCTATGTATCTGAGAGTGTGTGCCTGTCAGTAAGTGGGTGTGTCAGTGTGTGTCTGTCAGTGAAAGTGTGTGTTGGTTAAACAGTGTGTGCTTATGACTGTATGTGTGTGCCAATGACTGTATCTGTCAGTGAGTGTATATCAGTGCATGTATCAATGAGGGCATGTGTCTGTTAGTCAAAAAAGTGGCCTTGACACGAATTGGGGGTGGGGGATCAAATTTAGATTTTGGGGGTGCCCGAATTTAGTCGTGCCTAGGGCAGCACAAATCCAAAATACACCACTGTCTAGGATAGCGGAGAGGTCTCCGTTTGTGTATACAAATACATGTGTAAGCATGTGTTCATGTTATTTGTGAACACATACATGAGTATGTGTGTGAATGTTCTATTATATAGGACTGTATTTCTTTTCTTAAAGGGACACTTTAAGCACCAGAACAATCCAGTTAAAGCAACAATCCAGACATCTAAAGCACTTTGGCTTGCTGATGTGCTTTATGGGGGAGGAGAGTGTCCTCTTTTTTTATTTTACTGAAAAGTTCTGATTTTAATGAAATTGACACTTTTCTAAATCAATCTTGTTGTACCCTCTGGCTGTCAGACAACCGGTTCTGTTATTTCCTGGTTGTTCAAGCTATGCCTCCAAGCTGTTACTTCCTGTCTATCTTACCCTATCATACCGTGATATCACATGCTCAGTGGCGTCGCTAGGGGGGGGCCAGAGGGGGCCATGGCCCCCCTACATGATGCTGTGCCCCCCCTTGGGCCCCCCCAAATGTTGGCAACTTGCTGGCCATCTGCTTCCCTCGGACTGTAACAGCCCGAGGGAATGCAGGAGAGAGGTGCTGGAGGCTGTCTGTGGCTGGAGGGAGCACTGATTGGCTCCCCGGCACAGGCTCCGCCCCCAAATGAAGCCCCGCCTCCCGCCGATAAGCCCCGCCCCCGCCGTTATGCAGCAGCCCATGCTGCTGCTGAAGATGGCTGCCTGACCCCCACAGGTGACAGGTAGGCTGGGGGTGGGAGGTGTACACACACACATTGCCCCCATACACACACAC